AGCATTGTATGTACGTCTCATGACATCCAAAGGTCTTAGACTGATTAACGAATAGGGCTGGAGATTTCGTCTAGTTTACTGGTCGGAGCTTACCAAACTTCTAAATGACCGAAAGCAAGGATATCTTATACCATTGAAAGACATCACTTTAACGCCTGGAGGAACATTGAAAGAACGTTATTTCGCTGAAGTCACTAATGAGCCACTTCTTAGCTCGGGGGCAGCAGCTATTTTCATAGTTCCAGCGTGATTAACAGAAGTGCTCACTTAGTATGTACTTGTTCAATCTATATCTGTGATATCCCATTTTTACCACAAATGATAGCTAGCATCCACGATGGCGAGTCCTAACTGCAAATAATGTCATTTCACGACGATAGGCCATTGGTATTGTGACGATATGTTTGGTGTTTCAATGGAAGTTTGGGATTGGGGATCTCGATGCTCAACCGCGAATGGCTCCACTGCGCCATCTGGTCCGAAAATACCTCGATTCTGAAGCATGTCCATAGATTCTTGTGGTATTAGATCTGCCTTTTCATGCATATTCAATGTGCTGCCCATCCAAGCAATGGTTCGCTCATCAATCGCGTCCATGGGCTCTTGTGGTATTGGATCGGCGTTTTCATGCATGTTCAATGTGCTGCCCATCCAAGCAATAGCTCGCTCATCAATCACGTCCGTGGGCTCTTGTGGTATTGGATCGGCGTTTTCATGCATGTTCAATGTGCTGCCCATCCAGGCTACAGTATGCTCGTCTATCATGCCAAAAGACCGGGACTGCATTGTTGGTGTAGCAATTTCCTTGGCAGAAAGCCCAGGGCTGTCTCGGACTGTCTCGTTGCCGTCTCCGTGGGTTGGAAGATACGCTGCGGAATTACTGGCTGCTATATGGAAACTCGAAGTGGTAGTAGACGAAACTGGAGCTGCTGAATGTGGACGAGAATATCCTGGTGAATACTCCCCTTCCATCGGTTCTGGACGTGTCCTGGGACAAATTGATCCTTCTATGTCTTGCCTTGAATAGTTTCCTGCCTGCTGTATTCGAAAAGATCGCGTCTGCTGGAGTGCCCAATCTTTGCGAAGTCTTAGTTAGTTTTGTTTGACGGTAAAAGATTGCAGCCTACTGACCTTGGCCTGTTCCAGTGAAGTGAGTAATTCGAGATATTGAATCTTCGATCTTCTCCCATAGTTCGCCAAACAAGGCATTTGCTAGGTCGTCTAGGTTATTCTTGCCCTCAACATCCAATATTCCACGAGTCTTGAGACGCCGAATTTCCTCTCCTCTCTCTGGCCCACTCAATGGTATTGCTCTGATACTATGCTAAAGTCAATACTCCAGTCGGATTATCAATATAGAGAGCATACAACTCGTCATGGACATCTCCGGGAAAGCAGAATATGTTTCCAAGATGGGTGTCATTCTTTGCCTCAGCACACCCTATATCTTGACACAAAGCATCAATCCTTCTCCCTTCATTTATCCACCCAGTCACTTGACGCGTGATAGTCTCCAAGTCACTACTTGTCAAACCTGACTCCAAAATTATGTGAGATGCCTTCTCAACATTGTTGGGACGCATTTGATCAATGCATAACCTGTTTTTCAATCGATGATACATCACTTTGAGGAACCTTGAGCGGATTGTGTCAAATTCTCTTCGCTCATGCACCTTTGTTAGGTACTTGTAAGATTGTGCAAGTGGTAAATTGTCAAGATCAAGTGTACTGTCTTCTTCCGTGAAGAATAGGAGTGGATGCTCTTTCCAGCGGAGCACATTTTTCCTAATTGTCTCCGGTATAGTAATTGTTGAATCGCATTCTTTCTTGAGTCGTTTACGAGGTCTTGTCTGGGAATCGTGGCATAGGGGGCGGCCAATGCTTCTCCTGAACCCCACTGGGATTTGAGACCAAAGGTGTCGCAGCGACCTGATAAACTGTTTTCTGTTAGTGTCTTTGCCTAACAGGGTACTGATTATAACCAGACCCCTTTCTTAGTAAGAAAATCTTCAATGCTATCCTTCCCGTTTTACTCGGCCTGCGTGCAAGCAACAGAGAGCGATTCGATAACCACTCTACTTTCAGAGACACCCATAGTGTTCTTGATGGAGACAGTTGAGATAGACGATGATGCTAGGTTTCGTGATCGTAGGTAAGAAAAGTAAGGTATTGTTCGAATATAGCGAAGCTGAAGGAAACGAGACGGGGAAAGTCAAGGAGATAATAACTATTCCTTTGGTTACATATAATTACATGGGCTACGGGGCGCGGTTCCGACACGCCTATCCTATTGGTGCCTCATGGTTGGGACTTTTGAGATCCCTCGTACGGTAAGACCCATTTTAGGAATCCCTACAGATAACACTTGTTTGTAAGTGTGATGCAAGCCAAGGGCTTGCACTTTGAGCTAGGAGGAAACCATAGACCATATAGTTACCATATATTTATATAGAAAAAGAGTTCGATTGTAGGGATGAGGTGTAGGTGATGCCAGTAAAATAGAGCGCATAGTGAACATAACAATTGGTACGGAGTACATGCTACACTGGATTTGACAAATCATAGCATAGAAGCGGATGGCAAAAGTTCCAGAAAAGCCGGAGATAATAGCTTTGTTGACTTTTGATGGGCACGTTTAACGCGAGAAGACGTTCCCCCGAGGGGGCGGTTGTAATAGGCAACCTCTAAGGGCGGAGTTGTGTGAGAAGGCTGCACTATACCTGTTGGCAAAGAATCCTTGGGCATAGGCAAGATTGAAATTTTCCATGACGATAGTGTCCTGCGGGGCTCCTGTCTCCTATGTTTATGCGGGAGGGAGGGGCGCTTGGGCAGACTGGGCTGGCATTGGCGGCAGAGCTACTGATTCTGGCCCTTTATCGTGAAAAACAGTGTAAAATAGTGTGCGTTGGAACTTGGGTGGTTAGTGTCGCTTTTGTTGGTGCAAGAGCGTACGAGAGCCTAGGCCATGACGCACTTTGCCTCGCAATCGACGCACTGCGTGCAGGGTGTCTGCTCATCACGCCTGATGTAGAGCAGGCAGCTGCAGCCACATTCTCTGGCGTTTTTTTTTTCGCTTTGCTAGGCGACAAACCGTATAACTATTCAGAGCTGGGGTTGCAGTCTGCCCGACCAATTTGTTTTTTTCTCGATTCGGGCCCGAGCCGACCCAGAGCCTTTGCTTTGGCTGTCTAAATTTGTAGGCTCAACAGAGAATCTGTATAACATGGGAGAAGTTGGGAAGTACTAAACATCGAGGATTTACCCTGCAGGGGGAATACTACGGGATGGATTAATGACGTCAGCTTAAAGATAAGCCTCGCCGGGGCCGCCCGGGGCCGCCAAAAACCTTGGAACCCACCCACGAGTCTGACTAATTATCAGCCCCGCTCCCGAGGTCTTGAGAGGTGTCCTAGAAAGTTCACGAGTGTGGACAAAGCTATAAAAGCAATCATTAGAATAACTGGAAGCCTAATCCTTCCAAGGTTATATGAAGATAAGTGACAAATCAGAACTTCGCCAATTCACATACGACGCTAACCGCCTTGTTTCAAAGTTCAAAATCGACATTAAAATGCGACCTTTATGATTTATGTAGTTTACTTCTTATTTGCTATCTTATGGATAGTTAAAGGTACTATTTCAACCAGTTCATCAATTCTTTGTTTTTCTGTCAGTCCCACATTCGCTCCAAACACCTGGGGCCTCTGCTGCAAGGGAAGCATCTACAACTTCTCCCCCGGTGCACTTCCCTCCCTGAGAACTCCAAATACCATCCGTCTTTCCAGATTTCAATCTGAAAAAATGCGCCACCTCTTCTAAATCTTGACATTGATGGGATGATAGTAAAGTTGCAGATTGACTCCAAGTCCGAGTGCCTCAAGAGCCGTCCACAGGCAGTTCAGGTGCCTACCATTGCTCTGCTACACCTACTCATCTGTCTTCTCATTTTACATGTCCGAGGCATGGTATTTCGTCGCTGACGCACATCACTAATTGTCCCAGAACAGGATGGCCCCGTAGGCGTTGGCAAAACTGGCGATGCGATCCTTGATGCCCCCATTCCAGCGCTGCTCGTCAATCCTCGCCAGCAGCGCCTCAGCGGTGATGGACCAGAGCATTTTATGATTTTTTTTCCAAATGAAGCCGTAACGCGGGCTGACTAGCTGTAAAAAGCTGATGGGACGGTCAAGATGGCGGCCTCGGCCAGCTTGATGACGGTGCTGAAAACAAAGGGAGGGGTTTCACATTTGCTAAAATAAGAGGTTTTCCAAGAAGAAATACTGTTAGAGAAGCGTAGTTCCTCAAGGTCAGCGCCCGCCTCACTCTCGTTCCTGTCTTCGCTTTCGTGTTCTTGTCTCGTATTTCCTCCGTCCTTTGCCGCTCTCGCTCTCGTTCTCGCTCTCGACCCCAGACTTGGCCATCGATTTCTGCATCTAAAAGCCCGAGAAGTCAATGCACTTCTCCACAACGCAAAGCTATGACATTACACTCTCCTCTGGGCAAAATCAACCTAGGCACAGCTTTCTAGCTGTCCCAGCTAGATCCACAGTGGTCCCTGCAGATGATATCTGGTGGAGCCTGAGTCTTTTTCTCAACCTTGTCTGAGTTATTATTGACATCCATCCGAGTCTTATATCAACCTTTATCTTTCGATCTGGAATCCCTACTCCGGAGATTTCAGCTATATTAGATAACAATCCTACAAAACGCAGAAAATAATAACTGGTTTCTATTTGTCTAGGCAATTGCAAGACCCGAGTTCAAAACAAGGACCCTTGTATCGGATTTCCAAATTGCCGGTGAAGCTGTTGTAAAAGACTTGTTCCTCTCCTTGGAAAGTAGATTAATTTTTCCATCATTCAGAGCAAGAATCCCGATCTAAGAGATCACCAAAGCTCTTTCATTCAACATCATGAAGGTCACCAATCTTGCCCTCGCCGGTGTTGAGCCCCGGCGCTCAAGGGTAGGTCGCTCTCGTTGAAATCCCGAAACAATGAAAACTTCTCGACACTTCCTTGGCAGCTGCCGGCAGCATTTTCACCACAGAAGCTGGACACGGCGCCTACCTACGCGCCGCGCTCGGTGAAGTCCGCTTCACCCAGGCCTTCACAAACCCCCTCGAGTTAATCGAGATGAACACCGTCGCCTCTCCCTTCATTACACCATGTCCCTCCAACAACGGCGCGCTGCCAATTAAGGCACCGCCCTCCCTGTTGACGAGCTCAGTGGACGCTGTCAGGACAGGCTCGCATGTGCAGCTGATTCCTGGCAACGGCTTCAATACAAGCAACAGCGACATCAACGCCGCCTGTACTACCGTCAACGGTCCGGTCTAAGCTCCTCTCAAGTTCTTGGATGACGGACAGTTCACCGTCACAGTTCCCCAGAGTGTTGCTGGATCAAGCTAATTTGTCCTGACTCAGGGCAACAAGCAAGTGACGGATAAGAGTATTCTTGCCAGACCTGCTATAGCTGAGGTGAATCGGATTACTTTTGCTTTTGAGGTTTTTGTTCCGTGCTTCCTCGCCCCCTTTTTCGCAAGGTTGATGTTGCTTGTGTTTATAGATTGGAAAGATGACTGCTAAGCATTGTTGGTGTAGTTGTTGTTGGTCTATTTACTGCGGCTCTGATTGGAGATGGGTTGACTTGTTGGATTTCTGGTCAAATTTCCGGGGTGGGGATGTCGATACTGATTAAGGGTTTCCTTTTAATCACAATATTGGCCTTGGCAATGACATCTGATCTTTTAGGTGGATTACTTCTACCGTGAACATACACAGTCTACACCACAATGCTATGGCAACCTCTCGCTAATATAAACAAGAACGCCCTCAACACCATATAAGGCAACTGGACGCACACCCAGGTATACTTCCAAAATTGTTCTAGACCCGAGTCACATGATACGGAGGGACATGTCAATGTCTCAGATAATTTCTTCCTCGCAGTTATTCGCAGCCATCTTCATGATTGGTCTCCGCGGCATGTCAATTAACTTTGAACATGCCCCCCCTCCGCGCGCATAAAAAATCCCGCAACGGGTGCGATCAATGCAGAAGCAGGCGGGTCAAATGTGACGAGCAGGGTCCACCATGCTCGAACTGCACGACCCGCGAGTTAAAATGCACATATTTGAAAGTCGCCGCTGCCCGTCGCGCTACAGCACATCTTACCCCACCCAGCTCAGCATCCGATGTATCGCGTTCTCTAGATGGCCACGGCTCGCCCGTAGCAGCGACACCCGGTCTAGCCGTTGCCACAACAGTCCCAGTCTCGGCACCAGCCCAAGCAAACTCCTTCGGCATCGACAACCTAGAATTAATGCACAAGTTCTCAACAGACACGTACAAAAGTCTCTGTATCAGCGACTCAGAAATAATCATCTGGCAAATCACTGTCCCAACACTCGCCTTCAAACATGATTACCTGATGAGCGGGATCTTGGCGCTAGCCTCAATGCACGTCGCAACAACGTGCGAGCCATCAGAAGCAGCTCCCATGTACTACGAAACAGGACTACAGTACTACAACCGGAGCCTGACGCCATTCCGAAACGCGATTGACAGTATCTCGCCGCAGAACTGCGATGCGGTATTCGCGCACTCGATCGTCATGATCGCGATCAGTATCGCGTCACCCCGACTAACCGCCACAAAAGACGAGTGCTCCAGTATCACAGAGAATATTGTGATCCTGTTCGAGCTGCTGCAGGGCGTGAAGAAGATCCTGCAAGTCAGCAAGTCGTGGATTAAGCTGGAGTTATTCTCGCAGGGCGAGTTTTGGAAGAACACACCCACCGAACTTGACCCTGATACGGAGGCTGCGTTGACGCATCTGGCGGCGTTGAATGATCAGGTCATGATTGGGATCTACTTGGAGCAGCACCGCATTAATAAAATTGTCATTGCGCATTTGAGGCATTGTTATGCTAAGTTTGTGCGCTCGGCGGATCCGGCACCGGTTCTTGCTTGGCTTGCAGCTGTTGACAAGGATTTTGTTGATAGTCTCCGGTGCCGGCAGCCATTTTCGTTGCTGATTCTTATGTATTGGGGGGTGTTGTTGACGGAGCTTGATGGGCATCGGTGGTGGGCGCGGGGCTCGGGGAGAGCGCTGGTTTCAGAGTTATTTGAAGCTTTGAAGTCTGGGGATCCGAGGTGGGAGATTGCTCTTGCCTGGGCGCAGCGGAAGATGGGGCTCTGAGCATAGATATGGCTGGGACCAGTCGGGTCACTTGGAACTTATAGATTGTACATATAGCATTTTTGAAGCGATTTACACAAATACACCATTCCATTTTGTTGAGACTCAGAATTGCCGCCAAAAAACGTGGACATCCTTGTCAGGGGCCAATCTCGTCTAGGTGGCCAGTATGGTCTCACGGCAACAGGATCTCCACGCCGACTACACGACTAGACCGCAGGCCAATACATTCTCACCCGCATCTACGACCATATACGGGCTATCCGATCGCGGAACCAAGTACAACAAGAACCAACGAGAGTCACTATCAGGTGGATCCCCGCACACGTTGGGGTGAGCGGCAATGAATATGCCGACACTGAAGCAAAAGGTGCAGCGCTTCTTGGCGCATGGATAGGAACTACGATCGGGAGCGGCGATCCGGGAAAACCGACAATCCGCCTCGCCGCAGCAGCCAAGAGAGCAGTACGCCAACGAGTTAGAGAGCGGTGGGAGCGGGAGACAACTTCCGCGCCGACAAAGCGCTTAGTGCAAGCGCTGAACAAGAAGACACTTC